CCGTCTTACCATACCGTTCTTCTTTATTGTTTCAAAAGGTTTTGCTGTAGAGGTCACTTACCTTTTTCCTTCATAAGTGACAACAATGGGAAAGGAAGCCAAGGCGAAGGCGGGCTTTCGCGCTAGTATCCTCATAAATTCAAAGATACCGTAGAGAAAACATGTGCTAAATGTCATTTTTTGTGTTCATCCTATAACCCGTTACGTTTGCTCCCAAATTTACATCTGAATAAATTGTATGTTTTGATTGTAAATGGTTTCTTACGACTGTGAAGTGTTCATTTGCAATAGGTCATATCCTCTGATTTACTAACGTTGCCTATAAGGTATACAACATGATTCCCATCCATTACTGCATTTTATGACCGCCATGTGACCACTGCTTCATAGCATGTGGGATTTTCCGTAGGCAGAATGTTTACTACATTTCAGAAAGTTTGAATGCAAATATAACGGCAGGCAGGGTTTGACAATTATAAGGAAATATCGCTCTTCAAGTACAAACTTTGAAGGAGTCGTAATATGCCACCAAACGATTAAAAGAAATAACATTTTTGTGCGTTTTTCTCTAGACAACATACTTAAATACATAGAACCATCGAAAAGCAGTGAGAAAATGCATATTACATAGCTTGCGTAGGCCTGTCCGTACCCCTAAGTGGCGACTTGCTTTGGCCAGATTGAGTCTCAACACCGAATATGCATTGGACAAATCGTTGGACTTGGTCAAAGAATACATCCTAGCGATAAGCATTCCCCACCATCTGTATTCACAAGCAACGCACACTGTTAATTTTTTTAAAAATATTTTCTGTCTTACAGTAATTGTTCAACCCTAGTACTTCTCCCATGTGCTTTGCCGGGATCTCACTAGGCATCACCGATAGCAGTACACAAGGAGTAATTGGCATGAGTGAGAGAGCGAGCTAGAGTCAGTATAACTGGTGGTCAATGAACAAACCAACAGAATCCACGTTCATGGTGAACATTGCATCATCAACAACGCCAATGCGAGCACAGTCACGTTCGAGACAGTTGTGAGGAAGGCAGTTGTTATTCACTTAGGTCCTGTCTTCAACTGTCCTGTTGGAATAAAACTAGTTAATGAAAGTTGAGTGTCAACGCTGAAGGAGAATCCCATCCGACCGTTTGGTATTCGTCGTAGGGCAAATATCCTTCATAAGTACTTTACCATACTGGCAGCACCCGGTACTGACTAAGAGTCCCGATGCCTGTTTTGCCGACATGCTGCGGCTGTATGGCAGAGTTGCGAGGGATTGGGCTCATCGGTGGGTCCCTCAATATTCCCTGAGTGTTTTCTGGGAGATACTTCTTATTTCCCAAGTCAACTCTTGTGGACTGTAATGTATGAGAGGCATGCACTTTCCTAGTCTACAAAATTTCTTGCTATCAGGACAGGACAGGAAGAATTTTGTACAGATTTACCAAACTACTTTGAATTGAAGGAGGATTGCCAGCATTGTTATGAAAAAAGAGATCGACTTAATCCGTATTCAAGATACAAGGTGACTTTATGCCACAAGCTATTTATGTTGCAACCCACTAGGCGTACTGAAAAAAGCTTCAGGAAGGCCAACTGTGGCAGTTGACAGTTCGGGTCGAGATGAATGAACGATCGTGTCCCAGTCTGTGGTAGCTTGTAGTTATCTTGCAAAAATTGGAACCCAGTTATCACCTAGCGTTCGCTGGAATGCATTCCTTCATTGAACACCAAACATCCTGATCACGCGGTGACTTTTTCGGAAGCAATCAAGGATATAAAGTGTCCAACAACAGTTTATCGATTTTGCAGTGAGTCTTCACAAACAAGGGACCAGAAAAAACGAACAAAAAAATTAACGCAACAAATACATGGACTGTTTAATTTTTATTAAATTTATTAAATTAACAAATATGAACACAACTTGGAGGTACCTCCATAGCTGCGAAAATTTTTGTTGTAAATTCCACTGGATTCTGTACATTCCATTGCCAGTCCGCATAGGCGCCAGTCCCGCGCCTAGATAGTGTTCGAAAACAGTATCTTACCCTTTCAGCTGGCGGCCCAAAGCATTCAATGGTGTTCTCCGGATGTCGATCAGCACCTAAAGTTGGCACAAAGGAGGCAAACAGTTAGTCGTTTCAAAGGCTGTCCTGATGCAACTTGCAAATTTGACAAAACGTTCTATTTGCTAGGGAATATTGGCAGGCTTGAATAATTCATATGATGCGTGTGTGAAGAACTTGGCACCCTCCATGGTATTCGAACCCAAATCAGACAAAGGAAAGTTTCTGTACATCCAACAATCTGACCAACTTCTTCCCCCGCTAATTATTTGCGCATGGTAGTCATCTGATGGTTTCCAGATTAACTGCTGATGAAACCCTACTGAGGCAGTCAGCTTACGGTATCCAGATGGACACATTCCATACGTAACAGAAGGCTAAGCAGGTAACCTGAACGGAGCGTGATTAAACTCCCGGCTGTCGGTGGGAACCGCGTAGTTCAGTTGGCCAGAGCTTGGGTTGCACTTAAGCCCTCCGCTTGCCGGCGTCGGCTCGAATTCCAACGAGGCGGCACAATTTACCAACTGGATGAACGGAATCTTTACTACTGTCTACAACGTATCAGCTGGAAGAAATGCACACTAGGTCAATAATGGATCAGACGGAAAGCGTTAAAAGATTTTTTGCCACAAATATAATACACTAGAAGGAAAATAGGACATCCCTCGAACAGATCGATTTCAGCACAATCATCTTCCTGTCTGTGTGACCTGTAGACAGCATGCATCTTAGCCAGATCCATAGCTGTAAATGAGAATGTTCAATGCTACTTCGTGTTTTACAGCGAACCCGGAAGACATATAGAGCATCGGAAAGCACGATTAAAGTTATGCAACGTTGCTGGGATGGATTTATTTTAAGGCTGTAGGGCTTACATCTGGCTAAAGAGTTTAGTTGATATCTGGGTTTGAAAATGCTTTCTGTAACTAAGGAGAATACGTACCAAAAGCATACAGTCGGTCGTCAAGTGCTAACAGTGAAAAGGTGTCTCGCGGCTCATTCATCCGCTGTACAACTGTCCAGTAACCGGCTCCAATGTCGTCTTTCGGTGCTTCAAAGTACTCCACACTCCATAGGATTGCATGGTCGCTGTCGACACCACCAGCAACGAATACACGACCGTGGAGGGCACAGGCGCCGGAGGACGCGCGAGCCTCATGCATAGGCGCTAGAAGATGCCAGAAGGGGTCAGACGTGCCGGCTGTGTTGGCTCTCCAGTCATCGGTTGGAAGTACGGCGCATTCCACCAGAGTCAACGCATAGTTTTCTGTAAAACCACCTAGAATGAGGACACGCCCATTTTCTAGACTAACCATTGTCGCTCCTCGACGGGCCGTCTGTGAACTGGGTAGTTGTTTCCACCTGCAGGGAGTGTATTTACTTTACA